GCAAGCAGCTGCTTATGCTCCTTTTGATTTCCTTCTTACTCTTCCTCCCCTCCAAGTAGGGGATGAGACAAGTTAAGGAAGTCACAAGGGATATGTGAATACTGTCTATAGCTTCTGGGAATAAAGTGTATTTAGAGCAGTAATTCAGGGACCAGCTGAAGGTTAACTACATCTGCCCTACTTCATATCTGACTCCATTCCTTCCAAGCTTTCAGTTGTCAAAATATTCAGAAACAGCATTAAGGTATTTGTTATGGCCATTTGGGCACCTACAGATCTGCTGGCAGCAGTCTGTTGATGTTTAAGGATCTGATTTTGAGTAAAAAATAGCCAGCACCCCAGAACCTCAGGGGTAGAGCAAGAGACTGAGCACACACCTATTTGCATGGGTTTGCCTTTCTCCCTGCAGAACACAGCAAAACAAGCTTGGGACGCTCGTGGCAATCCCTTTATCTTGGAGCTCTGCTGCTGTGTTTAGGCACAGACCTTCTCAGATTATCCAGCTGCTGAGCACCAGAAATCTCACTTCTCTTTGCTTTATGAGTGAGGTCATGAATGTAACTTCCTAGCTAAAATCTGGCAATAAAATACAGTTCTAAATATAATGTGGACAAATCCAGCATTGTCTGCCTTTTCCTAGCTCACAAACCTCATTCCTACAGCAAATCTCCAACCTTTTTCTGAGGTAAACAGGACATCTCTACCACTCCTATGTTCCACAAAGAGGGAAGTATTTGTTTTTAGGAGGTATGTTGTGAAAGGAACTGTCTTTTCCAAACAAACAGATACAAAGAAATCAACAGGAGCACCTGCAACTTCCGACCAGGATCCTAGAATGTTGGAACATTCAAAACCCAAGTAGTAATAAATAAATAAATAAATAAATATATATATATATATACATATCCTGATTGTTGCACGACATCTAACTGCTTTTGTCCTGTGTTCTTAAGCAACATTTTCTAGTTCTCTCATGAGTGGAAGGACGGGCAACTCTTCAGAATGCACCTACTGTTAGAAGTCTGCAGTGACCTCATTCAAAGTTATTTCCATAGCCACAAGCTGTTTGCTTTTGAGTTACTGGTGGTTTCTCAAGGAGCAGTAAGAACCCAAAATAGCTTAGCAAGGGCCAAGCTCAGGCCACTGCCACCCATTTTTCTATAGTTAATATCTATCAAAGGGCTTCCTGTTGCTCTTACCAGGTTCTCCTCTCAGCTTCTGTGTCTTGCCAGACAGAGGAACTAATCTGAATGAGCACTGCCTTCCTCTGACCTGCACACAGCACCCAGGTCAGTCCTGGCCTCACCAGTCCTGTATTTTGCAGCCATCATCCCCCTTAGATGAGCACTGGGGCCCAGGGCTGGCTGAACCATCCTGCCTAGAGAGGTCTTTGCTCACAGAGTAAGAATTCAAGTCTCAAAAGGCCTTAGCAAGCAGAAATTATTTGTTGAATAAAGGATCTGCTGAGAGACCTCATTCCGAAATGGAAACTCAGCTATCTATTATAAACCTTTCTAATAACCCAAAGGTATGCAACAGAACAACAGAATGCAGGTTGGTGTGTGTGGTTTCCTTAGTTGCCTTAGTTGTTTTTTGGGGTTTTTTTTTTGGGTGGTTTTGGTGGGGTTTTTTTTGGTTTGGTTTTTTTAGGGGGGGGATTTACTAGAATAGACCTGAAGAGCACAGGCAAAAAGTATTCAAAGTATTCACTTAGTCCTGGCTGAATCATCAGGAAACATGCACTGAGATGTCATGTGCTTGTATAAATCACAGATGTACCTGAACTGAGCTGAGTGCCCAGGTAAACACCCCCTGTACAGCTGTGCTGGTTTTGTTCAAACTCCTGTATTTGCTGCCTGTGTTACCATGACAAAGGTTTAGCACAAAGTACTAAACAGATTATACATATAGCCCATGTTTTAGCATCTTCCTGGATATTGCCTTCAGCCAGCTCAGGTACAGCTGCCACTGCTGCAGCCACACCTTCTGGCTTTGGGGTGCACATACAGTGCAGTGCCAAGCTACACATTTAGATCATTGCCACAATGGAGTGATGATTAATCCAGGATTGAGGGAATACTTAAATCTTCTCTCCTAATTATTATATAGTCACAGTTAATTACAAGGGTTTTTCCCTAATTGAAATTATTCTGCTGTCACTTCACATAGGAGGATTTAGCAAGGAAGAGCAGAACTAAGTGAGCCATGGTAATTACTTGTAACACAGAGCTCTGCCAGCTGCACACAGGATCTGTTCCTGAGTCTTCAAAACTTCCTACAAATGACCAGTTATTTTCATCTTGATACATACACCTTGCAGCTCTTCTCAAATTTCAGGTGTTATTTCAAACAATCATTTATTACAGATTTGTATGCTACTGTTCATTGACTGTTCATACAGTCGTTGACTGACTTTTTCTTCCTGTAACTATACATAGAGTTAAAGCTACAAACGATCATAATACTATCTTTAAATGGGTAAAAAGCAGATTTCTTTAGAGCAATAAACAGCCCTTAGTTTTGTATTCTTATTTATTGTACACAAGTTTGGCCTCAGACCTCTGCTCGTTTCTGATGCCACTGAACACAAGTCAGTGAGTGCTCCCTGACTTTCAAGTTTAGCTGCCTAACCTTCAGCATTTAAAAACCATGCTGATATACACAATCCACATGTTCAGTGATGTCAAATAAAAAATTCAGCCAGTTAGAGTAACGGGGGCCGAGTTTATATAGTTAAACTAAAAAAATACCCCAAACTCCAAGCCAGAACAAAATTTTCAGTGACTAGTGTGGCAAATTACAAATAGAACCATTGTACTAGTCCTTCCCCTTTAACTACAGAGTTGCCTGATTTTTATCAAGCTCCTACAATAAATATAACCTGTAAAAATATTTGTGAAATGATAAAATGAAATATTATAGATTTCAAAAATTCTATTGATCTGTATGCACACTTCTTGATACAGATAAGTGTATGGGAATTTTTATCCCAGCTCTGAAGCCAGCAGATCAAACAGCTTCCCTGACAAATATTTGTTACTCACTTCACACTCTAAATAATCAATGTATAAATCAGCAGTGGCACTTCCCAAAACCACCTTTTGCACTTTCATTTCTCTTACAGGTAGTGAATCATCCAAGATCATTCCTAACTTTGTTTCTTTATTCTGTCATTAGCACTCAGTGATACCAAATGAAGGTGGTGCCACTAAACATCCCTGTCCCAAAGATCTTGCAGTCTTAGGAGCTTGCAATCAAAACTTCAAACTCTCTTAGAGCAGGAGAAAGTCCCACCACAGCAGTGGGTACCAGACAGGGGCGTTGCTCACACAGAAGCATTACACCATGAAGTGAGCACGCTCTCCTTTGTCTGCAGAGGTCCCACAGAAGTGCTTGTGAAGCAGGAGTTCCACACTGGATTTGCCTGTCTGCTGCCATCACAGGGAGAACATGATTTCTTATCTGAGCCATACCAGAAACCTTGTGTGAGGCCACACACAGATACTGATGTTTAACTGTTCAGGCAAGTGTGTTTAGCCTCAGTCAGCCAATTTTCATCCTTCCAGGAAAAACAGGCAGCTGGACCTTTCACTTCTTTCCAAATATTATTTTGTAGTTTGTGTCTATCACTGCTAATGTACTGGCTTAAAAGCACCTGCTGTAGAGTAGCATTTCAATTGCCAGGCAGGACAAGATTAGGAAAAAACCCCAAAACAACAAACCTGGAAAAAGTCCCAGTGAGATATGAGCAGGATAAGAAAGTGATTGCTCCATAGATGATTGCTGAAACCACAAAATACCTTGGGAATGACGGGTTAAGGAGGCTGCAGAGAAAGCATAATTGGCTTATATTGTCAGAATAAACACCATCATACTTAATACAGCTCTGTATCTGGACCCTTTCCCTCTTTTCCTGCCTGAAGGGACATGTAGTCATCAATAACAAAAGCTGAAGCTTCAGAAATGTTTTGGACACTTCATGACAAGCCATCCTCAGAAAAGGTTACCATGTGTAGCTTCAATGTATTTTAAATTCACCATCCAGCTGTTTGTTAAGATAACTCCTAATGATTTTGAATGAACTAATGGCAAAACTATGAAGAAATAAAGAGCAAAATACAGAGAATTATACATGAGGCATTTAAATCAATGACAGAGTAAAGGAGTAATTGGAACAGGAAATCACAAATCCAGCTCCAGAGTGAAAATCGCTGTACATTTAATCAGTTGTGTCATGTCCATCTTGAGGTTCATGTCACTTGCTCCAGTAGTGGCCACAGTGTGGGGTGGTGAAGATGTAATAGGACTTCATGGTGTCCTGGGGGAGGTGACAGGGGAACAGTGATGGCTCTGAGGGGATGCAGGATCTGGGGGGCTCACCTCAGCTCAGTTCTGGCACTGTGCTACTGAAGACTCCTCCTTGTGCCCACACCTGGGGGAGAGGGGGACAGTGGGGATGGAGGGACACCAGTTCATGAGTCAGGCCCCAGAACCTGTCTGTCCCAGCAATAACTATGTCTGAACCCCAGAATCTCAAGGGGTCTGGGAGGTGGCTGGGGGCTGCAGAGTGGCTTGGGGCTGGGTACAGGGATCTGGGGGTCAGGGTACCCAGGGTATGTACCTGGTTACACTGCAGGCCTTGTCCTGGGCTACTGGGGCCACTGGGGATGCAAACTGGGGACCATTGGGGTGAGTTAAGAGTCTGATGGGAACAACTGGAACCATTGTGGGGTGATGTGGGACACTGGGAGCAAGCAGGGGTACAACTCAGGGTCTGAAGGGGCCATTTTGGGCCCCGTAGATGCAATTTGGGGCTGAGAGGGGCATTTTGGGTGCTGCTTTGATGCACAAGACTAGACAGTAAGAGTGACACAGTGAATGAAATGAACAGATCAAGCTGTGGCATTTCCTTTGCTTGTTAAAAAGCACAGTGTGACAGAGACTTGACATGGAGCCCGCAGCAAGGCTTTTCAAGTATTTCAAATATACAGGAGAAGGCATAATGAGAAACACTACAGCAGCTTTATTTGGACTTGTACTCCAGGTACTTAGAGTGCAAGTTTACCTTTATTAATCTACTAAGTTGTGGCAATTAATTAGGGATCAGTTCCCTTTCAGGATGATATAGAGTACAGGCAGAGTAATGGCAAACATAGCACATGTCAGTGCAGTGCTGTAAATAGAACTTCTCTTGATTTGTGTTTCCAGTCTCCGCTCGGTATCACACAGCTCCAGAATCACATCTCTGACAGCAGCAGCCTGGCCCTTGCCCTCCCCTGCAGGCCTTGGCATCACTCTTTCTGGAGGTCGGGACTGGATGGCAACTTTGACACTGTGCAGCTCAGACAGCACCTGTGTGATACTTTCCTGCAGACTGTTAAACTGCTGTTGTAAACTCCCCAGACATGAACTGACTTGTTTAATGTAGTTTAGCTGCTCATTTAAAGGCATTAAAAGAGAATCTATTTTTATGGAGTCATTCCTGGTTTCTCTAGTTAACAAAGCCCCTTCTTTCCCTCCCTTCGATGCTGTTGTTTGCAGCACTTTTTTTAGGTCTTCTATGACATCACTGAGATCTTTCTGCTGCAAGTAATGGCTGGAGGCCTGTTCTTTGATTGCTTCTTGTAAATTTACTGGGCCCTTTTGTGCTTCAAGCACCAAGACTTTCAATTCTTGCAGCCTTACTCGATTGACATAGGTGGAACCAAGAACACCTATAACAGCTCCCAGCACAGAGCCAATAATAGACCAGTTCTTTGTTTTTTCAGCTCTTGTGCGTTCCTTCTCGTGGCTTTCCCTGACAGCTGCAGAGAAGAGAGAGAACTTTTCTCTCTCAGATTCTTCTGCATTTAAATATGCAGCTCGGTACCTCTTCTCTTCCTGCAAGAAATAGAGTGATGAAAAGAGAAGGTATAATATGAAGCTATAAAGTCTATACTAAAGGAAAAACCCCAAGCCAACCCCCAAACTCCAGTGCAGGTGAAGGAATGGAAATTTGGAACATCTATTAGAATTTTCAGAAATTTTCCCTTGCCTGTGGGATTTTCTTTATTAATCCTACTTAAGTCAATGAAGCATCATTCTAAGTCTGAGAAATGGAAGAGGTTATCAGGAATCACAGCTGAAGGTCCTGTACATGAGAATCTGCCACATGATGATAGGAAATGGGTATGAGTGAGCAAGGTCTTTCACTCCCCATAATGTTCACTGTTTCAGCCCTGCTAACTTCTCTAGACACCAGCAGAAAGCAGCTGAGAGAATTTCCATGGATTAGCCAGAAAGAGTTTCTCTCATCCCATGGAGAGTTAATTCATCGAATGGCAGCTTTTTCTTAACTACTCATGTACAGGTCACCACTACAACAATTAATTATCTAGGCTCATTATCTTCAGTTTGATTCTCCAAATTTACTACTCTGCTTTAGCATTAACATATAAAATTTGCACAGGGGATCAAACCATTGATAACAACTAAGTAAAACAACTACCCTAAGAAATTAACTTTGATCACTTCAGAACTGAACTGCATCTACAAAAACAATCAATCACTAGTGAAGGAAACAAAGCACACAAATTTTCAACATATTCACCAATGCTTAAGTACCAACAAATTACCTGCAGCAACCTGTGTTCCAGAGTAGCCAGTTCTAAATATTGGGTGTCATCCCGAGAGACCCTGTCTAAGCGATCCCGAATTTCCTTCAGTTTAATCTGTTGGGCTTCTACATTTTCACGAGCCTCTCGTACTATCCCTCGAGCTATCATAAAGACATTTTCTGCCTGAGAGAGAAAGAGCATTTATTTTAGAGACTTACTACCACACAGACCTAAATTGCTAATTATATACAATTTTTTTTTGGGGGGGGCGGGGGGGAGGAAAAAAACCACCAACAAAATAAAACACACTACTCCATTTCAATTCAGAGGATAAGCTCTATTTACTACATGCATAGCCTAGAACACATTCACAGTGCCTGCACAGACAGCCAAAGCAGAAAAAGACATAATTCTCCTTGGATAACCTTTTCTGCCTCAGACAGTGTTTATGCTGCATACACCTCTATTCATCATTTTAAAAATTCCACATTATCTCCATCTTTACCTCTGTCACTTTTCCCTGAGCCTCTCGAACTTCATTGATTCCAACAAATTCTTCATATCTGTCCCACCAATTCCTGCACGTTGCAGACACTTTTTGGAGGGAGTTTTTCCCCATAGCAGTCCCAGATTCTGTGATCCGATGAAGGAGCCCCATGGCCATTTCCACTGCAGACTTGGCTTCGGGCCTCTTGGGCGCCGATGGGCAGTAAGTCCTCACCACGTGTAAATTCACTTTGGGACTCCATTTCATCAATGAATGGTGATACTGCAGACCACAGGACACTGAGGACACACTTGATTTGTATTTCATAGGCCCCATGTCTTGAATTTAATTGCTAAATAAAAGTGCTACAAGGAAGAAGAGAAGTTATTGAAGTATGGCTGATTGGTAGCTCTTCAACTACAAGTGTAATGTATGAACTAATGTATGAACTAATGAATTCAAGAATGGCTAAACCATTGCTACTTTTACACCACTGCTCACCTAGAGAACTTTCCAAAATTTTCAACAAAGTGCAATTGTGCCACAGATTCCTGATTTTCTGTTAGGAAGTACTCCCACCATGCTTCATGCTTCTTGACAACTAATTCACCCACGGCGTGAGCAGCGATCATGTGCAGATCCAGTAACAGCAGGAGTAACTTCAGAGAAATTCAGAAATTCAGTGCTTCAGCAGAGCAGTGACTGCACAACGTGGTTTGTGCCTCAGGTACTCACAATTCTGCAAAAGAACAGAAAAGGAAAAAAGGCAGAGAGGGGACAAAATCTTGATAAAAAAAGAAGCATGGCTCGATCATTCTCTTTATCTCACATTGCACAGATACAGGAAGTGCTGAAGGATGCAAAGACAAAAACACAAAGAACAGAGGGAAAACCCAGAAGTGCTGAACCAAATACAAGCACTCCCATGAGACTGCCGACAAAATAAAAAACCAGGACCAACCACAAGAATAGAAAAATCTCAGGCAGCGAATATACAGCATTCTAACACACAGGGCTGCATTTTAAAATTAGCTTAAAATTCTTGCTTACCCTGCAAAAGCAGGCTGCTAGTTATGTTTTACTGTCTACTGATTTTAAATATGATCTTAGAATTCTACTGAGGCACATTATTCTAAAAGCTAGAAATTGGAGAACTTTTCAGTCCAGTTTTATATGAAATTCGAGTATGACTATATTAGATTTTGACTAATATAATATGAAAACATGAATTACCGAGAACACTTGATAGCTGCTGTATAGTTTAAAAATTTATTTAAAACAGATTTCCTTGTTAATTTTAGGTGGTTAATGTAGGCATCTCCACAAAAAAGTACTGAAGCAGCGGGAAAATTCTGACCACCACAGGTTCATTCCCCTGCTGACTAGTTCTAACAACTAATAATAACTCCAAGTGGCATTATGAAAATCTTACCAGTTGTTTTACATGCATAACATGTAAGATCAAACCCACAAGAACATGGAAATGAAAGAAGTTCTCTTTCCTGCCAGCATCACTCACACATCTACTGTCAACAGCAGTGCTGAACACCTACTCTACATTGCAGGCCACAACAAACATCAGCTCAATTTTGTCTGCTCCAGAGTGCAACATTCCCCTCTCTTAATTGCATTACTTCCTGAAGAGTTTAACCTAATATTCAGGGTACTGGAGAATAGAAAAAAAAAGAGGGAGAAAGTTGAGATTTGAAGAAGAATTTATATGCAGACAGTCACAGACTGTGATGAACGTGATCTCAGCCTGAGCTTAGAGGACACAAGAAAGTTGTGACAGCTTAACCTGACATTACGTGCCTGGTTCTCTCTTGCCTCCCTCGCAAGAAGCATTTCCTCTGCCTGCCGTCTCTGACAAACACACTCTCAAAAGCTGCCGCACACAGAGCCGGTGGCCAGCGGGACTCCGCTCCCCGGCTCCCGCAGCGCTCCCGCGCCGGGCCGAGCGCAACCCGGCACTGCCGCGGCGCCCCCGCATCCCGCCGCCGGCTTCCTCCGCACCACCGACCCCGTCCCTGCCCGGGGGCCCTTCCACCGACCCGGCCGAGTCGCCGCTCCCCTCCCGGCCGGCCCCGGCCCCGGCCCGGCCCCGCCGCGCCCCGTACCTGCCCCGGCCCGGCGGCGGAAGCGGCGGCAGCGGAAGCGGCGGCGGAAGCGGCGGGAGCGGCGGGAGCGGGCGGAGCGAGCGGAGCCATGTCGGGCCGGGAGGGTAAGGCCGGGCCCGGGGCCGTCGGTGTCGCCCGCCCGGCCCCGCCCGGCCCTCACTGTCCCCTCTGTCTTTGCAGGCGGCAAGAAGAAGCCGCTGAAGCAGCCGAAGAAGCAGACGAAGGACCTGGATGAGGTAGGGGGCGGGAGAGCCCCGGCGGCGGCGGCGGCGGGAGAGCCCCGGCCGTGAAGGAGCCGGCGGGCCTGGCTGCCCGGGGGTTCCTGCCGACATTTACAGGAGCAGGCAGTGACAGGACGAGCGGGAATGGGCTCAAAGTGAAAGAGGGGCGGTTTAGATTAGATATTAGGAAGATATTCTTGCCTGTGAGGGTGATGAGTCCCTGGCACAGCCCAGAGAAGCGTGGCTGCCCCATCCCTGGAAGTCTTGGCTTGGACGAAACTTGGAGTAACCTGTGCTTGTGGAAGGTGTCTCTGCCCATGGCAGGGCTTTGGAACAAGATGATCTTTAAGGTTCCTTCCAACCCAAGCCATTCTGTGTTTCTCTGATGCCATGACGACATCCCGCCAGTGTTCCACCATGCTGGTGGATGCAGCAGTGCTGTCTGTCAGAGCAGCTTGGAATACCCTTGGCACAGCATCAGACTGCGAGCTGAACTCGGTCAATCTCTGCTGTCCCAGGAGCCTGGGATTATTGTGTAGCTTGGATGAATTAAGTACTAGTGAACGTATTAAATTATGTACTAGTGAATGTATTAAATTATGCACTAGTGAATTGCATGTTAGAGATACTCTGAACCCTTACATTAAAGTATAGATGTCAGCTCCTATTTCTGAGAATAGTGCATGATGGATGAGGTGCCACTATTTGGAAAAAGGCAAATACAGTACCTCTTTGAAAAAGGAAAAAACCCATAGCTTTCTAAATAAGCTTTATTGTTAAAGAAACGGTAGAACTAATAAAGTGCTTACAAGGATGCAAGTTAGAAACATTTGTGTGTCAAATGATGTAAAATTTATTTTTGTCTCAGCTCTGCAATACTGTGAGCATTTGGGAGCAACACATTGCAAGAAAAACCCCACAGAAGTGGATAAATGTGAGGGATTGATTTACTAGGAAAGACACATTAGCCAACTGGAGACAGGAACACCTGGAGAAAGAAACAGAATATTCTGTTCTGTGAGGGGTAGGTAGGGGAAGTAATACAGTTACATTGCAGCAAGGGAGGCTTTAATGAAAGAAGAGGAAAGCTTTGCAGTTGTAAAGATGAGCCATGGACTGGATTGGTGAAGAATCTGTGGAATCTCAGTTATCAAGGTCCTCAGTTCAGTTTCCACAAAGTTCTGAGTGCCAAGTTAAAAATCTGGGTCCTTTTCAGCCTTGGTGTCTGTGAAGAATGTCTGTCTAAGGGACAGAGTATGTCTGACTTCTCCTGGATTTGGAGGCTCATCCAGCAAGGAGGCTCAATAGCTGCCTTGCCTGCACAATTTGCCAGCAGTCTAATCAGATTGCTTGGAATTAATACAAATTTATTAAACCCAGAAGAAATGACATATATGTGGGAGGATTTTAAAAAAATATGCTTTTACTTTAGCCTTACTTTATTTACATTCTTTATAGCCTAAATGTTTTTGTTAGTGCCTGTTTGCTGGGCTTCATGTGTCACTGAGGGTATGTTCATGAATGGTGTTAGTGCAAACATCTATCAGTCAGAGGAATCATAATCTCAGAATGAGAAATAATTCCAGGAAGACCAAACATACAGAGTTAAAGTTCAGTTTGTGGTCTTTGTGATAGTTTTGCAATGTTCTGCATATTCTGCCTCAGTCCAGTCAGGTGTTTGTTGCTGCTGGAATAGTACATTTGTTTTTCCTTGCTTCTCAGTTGTTTTTGAATTTGTCTGTGGAAGAGATGTTAAAAAATGCTGCTGTTCTTTCCTTCAGACGGATCTGGCATTCAAACAAAAACAGAAGGAGGAGCAAAAGAAACTTGAGGAGATGAAAGCAAAAGCTGCTGGAAAAGGTCCCCTGGGTAAGTGAGGTGCCATCCTGGCAGGAGAAATGGGGGTCTTGCTGGCTTCAAAAATTTAATGTTTTTGTTTGACAGACACAAAAAGGCAGGTGCCTCTGGGTTTTTTGACATAGGTAAATAAGTTGATGGCAGGTATAGATGATATGAAACAAATAGAGGCTATTTTTTTCCTATGCATTTTCATCCCCAAATGATGCAGGTTCTGGTTCAGCAGGCAAATCACTGTGTCTGGCACACTGACTTATTCCACTGGTATGTGCAGGGACATTTCTGCTCTTTTTTTAGCAAATCAGTCTTTTCAGATGTATTACCTGTAGGCTTTGCAACAGTCCTCCAAGTTTAAAAAATCCATTGCTTGTCCTCTGAGAGGATGAATTTCTTCATTATAAAAATGTGACTGGAAGCCAGTCTGGCTTCAATCCCTCTTCCTGAGTGACTGTAAAATATGTGAGGCATGGAGTGAGTTCACAGGGTGTGTGCTTGTGGCCCATGGAGGCCATCCCTGTCTCAGTGACAGTCACAGAGTGCTCACATGGCTCTGCACTCGCCTTCTGCTCCTCCAGCTTTTGCCATGGTCCCATCAGAGGTGTTCAAGGGTGCACCCTGCCTGCCTCTGTTCTGTCCTTACATCCTAAACTCATTCTGTGTAGGGTGCTTGAGCTCACAGATCTCTTCAGAGTTCTTTCCCTGCCCTTGTCTAGACTCAGTGTCAGTCATCTGGCCCTTGTCTGATGCTTACCAAAGCAGGTAATGACTGTTGTGTTGCTGTGGCAGGGTCAGCCTATTTCCAAGAGCCTTAGCAGGGCAATGCTGTTGGAATCAAGTTGCAATGCAGAGTCTGTTGCTGACTCTCGGCCCTTGCAGTCTGCCTTGATGCAGCCTTGCTGTTCTCTTTCCTTCCCACTGGTCATACCTGACACAACTGGAGAAAAACAGCAATTACCACAAATGCCACACTTGTTTCTGTGTCAATACCTAGTGTTCTTTCTTTAGTGTCTTAGACTTTAGCATCTTCATTAATCTGCAGGGAATTCCAGCACCTGCTTCTGTAGAGCTTTGATCCCAGCTGGGGGCTTTGGTGTAGGGACACAAAAGCTTTTATTCCCTTAGTCTTGATTTTGATTTGACCAGACTGCTCCTGCTGCATAAGAAATAATCAATGGAGAAACAAAGTAACTGTTGGAATATTTCTTCCATTGTAGAATCAGGGGGCATATTTGGTTCTAGGAGAAACCTTATTTCTAATGTTAAATAAATCACTGTTCACAGTAAGGTGTGAGAGATCAAAACCACACAGGAGGAGTCACACGTGCAGAAACAATTCACCAGTGGGAACCAGGGCTGTGCAGGCTGTCTAGTGGGGGGATTCAGCTTTATGAGGAACTGCTTTTGGAGCTAAGCTCTGTCACAGTCACCTAACCAGCTGTGTTGTTTCTTTTGGCAGCCAGTGGTGGAATAAAGAAGTCTGGCAAAAAGTAGCTTGATCAAACTGCAGGGTAAGAAGTGATCAAGTTACTCAATGGACCTGCAGACTTCAGAGAGTCTTGAAAACACTCTGTCATTTGGGAAACATTGTACATTTTGTTTAGTCACAATAAATCCTTTTTGTTAAGATGTGATATTTTCTCTTTACCTGTAGGTTTTGTTTAAAAATGGCTTTACTGTTTTATACCGGAAATGAAACTTTTACTGAAGACCATGTGTGTCCTTGTGCAGCCCGAGTGCCTCTGATCATTTGTTAGTCATTTGTGAGAATAAATTTCAACTTCTCCTCTCTTTTGACTGTGGAGTCAGGGCCTGAGTGTTAAAATCTGCAGTTTTATTCTGGAGGCTTAGGTCTAGCTGCAGTTGTTTGAGATGCAGCTATAGCAGTATGTGCTCTCCTAAGAGCTCTAAGTTTTCTTTAAACAAAAGTTGGGTTGTACTTCTATCACCAGCACCTTGGGGCAGCCACTCTAAACCAACTCCTTCCCATGTTCCTGCTTTGGAGCACTGCTGTGCCCTGTAGTCCCCCTGCCTGCTGAACATACACTTGCCTTTGTCCTACAAATCGTCACTGCACCATTTTCCTGAGCTCCATCTTGACATCACAGCTCTGTCACACTCGTGGAATGCCTTTGGGGTGGAGAGGGGAGGGGAGCAGGAACTGAATTCACGAAATGAATTGCCCTGACTGAACACTGGTTATGGAAACTTGAAAGAAGGAATATGCTGTTCCCAAGGTGGGACTTACAGGGGAAAGAATCAATTCAAAAGCCTTATTACTGAAGAGAAATGGTGATACAGAGACCGTTCCTGCTGTCAGGCAAGGCAGCTGATGGCTGCAGAGGGAGAATGGCTTCTGAGAACAGCGAGACTCTTGGGCTTTAGTGGCACGGGGGAGTTACATGGGAAATCTGGGCCTGCTTCTAAGGAAGAGACCGCAGGTGTTGGGTGTTCACAGCGTGCTGCTAAGAGGGTTTCCTTGTTAAACAGATATTTTTAGAGGACTAGAGGCGTTTCCTCCTTCCCTCTGAAACGCGAGGCTCCGTTTCAGCAGGGCGGGAAGGGCGGTTGCCCTGGATACGTGGGAGCGGGAGCGCAGGCCTTACAGTGCCATCAGCCCATGCCGAGGACCGCGTGCAGCGCCCCTGCCACGGAGCGGGACCGGGACCGGGATCGGGACAGCGACCGGGAGCAGGGTCGGGGTCGGGACCGGGCGGGGCCGCGCGCGAGGGTCCCGCTCTTCCTTGGGCTCTGCCGCCCCCGCGCGGCGGCCGCGGGAATGGCGGGGCGCGGGCCGTGCCCGCCGCTGTGCGCATGTGCAGCGCTGCCCGCGGCGGGCGCTCCCTCAGCGCGACCCCCGAGCGCTCCCGCCCGGCACGGGAGGCTCCGGCCGTGAGGCCTCGCCTTGTGCTCCCCCGCCGCCTCTGCCCGAGCCCCTGAGCTCACACAGCTGCAGGCACGTAGTTCCTACCCCGTGTGTGAGCCTCATCTCACGTGCCGGTGGCTCATAGGAAGATCAGAGCCCTGGTGTCCTCCGAAAGGGGATAAATCAGCCCTTGGTGATACTGAGGAAATTAAAAGTACTTTCCTGAACATCAGATTGAGTCCTGCCAGCCAGATAGAACATGTGAAGGCTGAAATTCAAGATTGCATCATTCTTCCATTTTGTGTAAGAGTACCTTTGGTAACAGAAAACTATTCACAGAAAAAGGTAGGACAAAGCTGCCTTAGCTACAGAGCAGGGACTGCTTCTGGCTCTGTGCAGAACACTGAAGGCCACACAAGGCACCACTGGTACCTCTTGGGGCAGAGCTCCAACCCATGAAACACAACCAGAGACAGAGTGTGCTCACAGCTGTGCACACTCAGTGAGAGCACAAGCTGGCTTTACTTCACTTTTATCAGTCACGCACTGGTGGTGGCAGATCCCTGCCCACACTGCCCACCTCACCCCCATTCCCACTGATGTGTAACTAACCTGGGGGGTGGTTTAAATGAGGAAGAGGGACAGGGAGACAACACGGTCCAAAATATGGGAGAAATAAAACTTTGGCAGTGTATCAATAAGGAATTGTTTGCCCCAGGAATTACTGAATGAAATGAATGAGGTTGCTGATCCCAGCCAAGCTAACTTGAGGTGGTCTGAGGGGAGGAGAGCAAACAGAAATGTGTGCTCCACCGCATGAGACAATATGCAAAAAGCATTTCAGCAAAAAAGCAAGAGAAGAGGGAAGGAGACCAAATGGCAAAGTGACAGATCACTGCAGTGAGAGCTGTTCTCAACAGGCTTAACTTTAATGTAGGCTCTGAACCGCCCTCCTGGCCAAGAGCCCTCCTGCTTAATATTAGGCTGTGGAAATGAAGTTAAACAAAGGAACACTTTCATTGTATCTTTTTACATAACACTATGTAATAAATGGCATTTCATTTCTTACTGCAGCTCCAGCTCAATGTTAAACTAATGCAAAGACAATATAACTCCTAAACCATAGATACACATAAAATTATCACAGTCTGAAGGGCACAGAAAAACCAAAGTCCAAAAGGCAGCTGGAAATGGATGTCAATTAAAATAGCAGCAAAATAGACACAAATATTCTTTGTAGGGAAATCTATTGAAGGATACAATTGCCATAATCAATTCAAGTCAAGCTCTAGTGTTTGAAAAGACTTTGCCCACTCTTTAGAGTTAGTGGAGCTCCAAGGAAATTATACCCTGCTCTGAATGGCTTCCAGATACTGATTCTGTGAGGTCTTAGAAGAGGAAACTTCCTTAGTGTAAATCAGCCAGCCTGGAAAACAGGGTGTGACCTTCTCTAAAACATTTTCCATCCTCATTTTGTTCAAAATTGGGATAGCGGTATTATATTACTTCAGAATAGTATTCTGAGGTTAAATTAATATATAATTGTAACGTACTGTTCCTGCTCTGCAAATTCCAGTGCAAAAGCCAGTGATGTAGGAGCTGAGACTAAATTAGAATTTGGGGACAGAATATATTCTTCTGCACGTCCTTCAGTCACGCTGAACATCTTCATGTTCCACCAGGCTTGCAGAGCAGCCTGAGATCTGACTGAAGCACACAAGGGGAGCAAATCAGTTTTGTCTCCTTGGCCAGTTCACTGTTGCATTTAAACATTCACTATTTTGATTTTATCTCTGCCATTTAATGATCTATGCAATTGCCCATTCTAATGTGCTTTTCTAGGTCTTATCCTTGTATGAGGCTTTTAAAATACAAGTGATCTAAATTACCTTCAGAAATAAAAATCTTCTACATGGCAAGTAAGTATTCTCATTTACTAAGATTCTGAAATAAAAGTTAGTTTGGTAGATTGGTCTGCTTTTATATTTAATGACTCCAGTATCACAGTTTTTGGGAAAAAAGTATTAAATAAAGCCATATATGTAACTCCTTATGCAAGAAAAACACACTTGGAGAATTATGGAGGATCTTCTAAACCAGTAAGACAGTAATTTCAAGTGTCAAGGCTTCTGCTTCAGTGTTTTGTTTATTTTCAGTCTACCCATCATTATTTACTGATTTCTGCAATGTCTCCACTCTAAAATGCTGCACAGAATTATGAGCTATATATGGACCTCAGGAATGCAGTGGCCATGTGAACCACCACTGTTCACTAGATAATATTCTGCACTTCTTGAAAGACAGGAGATTAAGTGAGGAACAAAATCATTCTGTTTGGCAGCACTGACTTACCATTTCCATACTGTTTCTATGGATGTCACTGAACTTGTAGTACCTCCAAACCAGAAGGCAACTGGGAGCAACCAACTAAAGGAGTTTAGTTGGTTTCTCTTGAAAACAAGTAATTCATATACCCTTAAGTTCAGGTCTAAGTGTCAAAGAGTTGAATTTTAGTAAAGAGGGAAGAAAAAAAAAAAACAACAGGGCAAAATATAGCTGTGATGTAAACCAGCTTAGGTGTCCAGGAGATTTATTCTGATGAACTAACAGAAACTTATTTTTTCCATATGTGAGAAAATAATATTCTGCCAAGCACACAATTATATTCCAGTTCTTTAGATCATGGTTCTTACTTATCTTTTTGCTCAGCTCAAGTCACTTGTCTATAATAAGAGAGCATATCATCTAAACTTTGGTAAAGTGGTTCCTGATTTGGAGTGTCACTGCTGTCAGTCTGCGCTGGAGGTGCCATATCCTGAGTGCTGCAGCCACTGTCCTCTGTTCCTGGTGGCACATCCTGGGTGCTGCTGTCACAGGTGTCTGTTCCTGGTGGCATCTCTTGGGTGCTGCAGTCACAGGTGTGTGTTCCTGGTGGCACATCTTGGCTGCTGCATTCACAAGTGTGTATTCCTGGTGGCACATCTTGGCTGCTGAGGTCACAGACTTGTGTTCCTGGTGGCACATCCTGGGCACTGCATCCACAGGTCTGCATTCCTGGTGGCACATCCTGGGCACTGCAGCCACAGGTCTGCATTCCTGGTGGCACATCCTGGGCACTGCAGCCACAGGTCTGCATTCCTGGTGGCACATCCTGGGCACTGCAGCCACAGGTCTGCATTCCTGGTGGGACACCCTGGGTGCCGTAGCCATAGGCCTGCATTGCATAGGGCATCTCAGGAGTGCCATAGCCGTACCCATGCATTGGTGGCACCATTGCTGGTGCTCCATAGCCATAAGCCTGCACTGGGAAGGGCACCTGGGCAGTGCCGTAGCCATAGGCTGGCATGGGTGGTGGCACGGCCCGGGCGCTGTAGCCGTAACCCCGCAGTGGGGGTGGCACACCTCGGGCACCGTAGCCATACGCCTGTGCTGGTGGGGGCATGTCCTCGTCATCGCTGCTGTCATCCTCTGCTGATGACACGCCCTGAGTGTCACGGCCACTGGGCTCTGCTGACCCTGGCTTAACTGGAACACTGCTGTTGGAAGGCTGTGGTGACAGTGGCACATCTCCAGTGCTGCTGCCACTGCCCCCTGGCACCGATGGCCTCTGTTGGTTTTGTGCTCTCTCCGTTTCCAGTTTTTCAGAGGAGGTTTCTGAACTGTTTAAATTCCGACTTCGGAGATAATCATCTTTCTTTTGTCCCAAAAAGTAATCAGAAGGTGGTGCAAATTCTGGGTCTCGCTCATCTCTAAGTTCTTCCTGTTTCT